CCTTCTGCAACCTCGTCTTCACCTCCCACTGAAGAATTCTCCCCAATTTTCTTCAATAATTGACAGATTTTAACATTTATTTTCAATTATTCTCTCAGCTCTTCGATTCCCTAGATAATCTACAATTTCTAAAGTTCATCACACTCCTAGAAACTTAATTTCCCAAAGAAGACCTTCTGCAACCTCGTCTTCACCTCCCACTGAAGAATTCTCCCCAATTTTCTTCAATAATTGACAGATTTTAATATTTATTTTCAATTATTCTCTCAGCTCTTCGATTCCCTAGATAATCTACAATTTCTAAAGTTCATCACACTCCTAGAAACTTAATTTCCCAAAGAAGACCTTCCTCAACCTCGCCTCTACCTCTCTCCGAACGATCCTCTACCATCTTCCCTAAATTTTTAAGGAACACACCTAACAGATCGTCGCTCACAACGTGTACCATAGGTTCAACCAACTTTTTCCCTAAACAAAACGACGAACGTAACCAGGATTTTCCGTGAAATCGTACGGTGCTCTCCGTACGAAGACTGCCGGGGTTAACGAGAAGCGGACGTGCAAACCGGTGGAAACAATTGGTCAGTTCGTCCGCGGCCAATTAGAGAATTGCAGCGATGAAAATACCGGCTAGCTCTTAATTCGATTCAGCCAATTAACTCTCTCCGTCCCTCTGCGCGCAACTACCGGCCTCCCTCTGTCAGGCTAGTCGGAGTTTCTCGAAGCGAGCTGAACGCAACAACAGACGGCCGTTCGATCGAACTGTGCTAATTCGATTAACCGAAAACATTCGTGAAAACTCGTTCAAACACCTGATCGTATCCGTATTCGTCGTACGTGTGTGTTCGCCAATATTGTCAGAGACAAAGGAGATCTACGAACGACCATTCGCCTCCCGAAAACGAAGGTTCGAAGTTCGCGTCGTTCCAGGAGAATTAGGTCAAAGTCGTATCGCGACGAAAAAGTGATACGACCGTGAATACACGCGCATAAACACATGCACGATAACATACGATAGGTTGCATAATCGAGCTCTAGGGACACCGTTGAAATTTTAGAATGGTGCACGTTAATAGCCATGATCGAGGTGTTAAAATGTCTCGGAGGATTAGTAGGAGGATGTTTGACTTTTTTTCGCAGTGGTAATAGAATTATTGCTTCGAATGTCAAACAGTGGAGAAATTATTGGAGAATTTATTTTTAGGGTACGCTGCTGTCGTCGGCAGACTTTATTCGAGATAACCTCTGCGTAACACCGGAAGAAATGTAATTTTTGGAAAATAAAGATTTGAAGAAGGCTGCGGAAAGACGAATGCCGAATTTTTTCTAAAATAAACCGAACGTTACAACTGCTTTAAATTAAAAACTATGGAATAAATAAGTTTACTTTTGGAATGAGGAATTAAAATCGAATGAAAATTTATTATATATTACAAAAATGATTGTTTCCAGATAATTCTAAAATGATAAATCTGCAATTGTAATAATTCTTAATCCTGAGTTGCTCAGATAAAATCTGACAAATCTGATAACTTTCGTCCTGCCCTAATCTTCGGTGTTTCCTTTTCAAATAACGAATAAAATTTACCATATATTGAAATTACAATATTTATACATCACAAAAATTAGAATTTTTCAACTAGTAATTCTTAAGTAAAGTCTGACAAATCCAACAGTTTTCATCCTTTCCCCATCCAACCTCCGCTGTACTTTCCATCTCCCTCCGTAGATCGTAAAAACGCATTATTCAAAAAATACATTTATAATAAAATACGTGGTTTACACCGTCGTTGAAACAATTTCAAAAGGAAAAAATTCACCAGGCAAAGGAAGGTTTAAGCGACACTGATTAATGTACAGTAGAATTGCTCTGGCAGGCTAATGAAGTTGCCTTAGAAACTACGCGAAAGACAAACGAGACGATTGCACGCAATTTCGAGCGCGCATACACCAACCGGCGTTAGCACTGCAACAAAATTAATCTGTTCGCCGGTAGTAAGAGCAGTTAGGTAACGCTTGGGTTCGTCAATTCAGACGTTAAATAACGACAGAACGTTAGATGTGGATTATGAAATGAATTACGATTGGTAGATAGTTCGAAAGCTGTCCTTATTGCGATAACTTCCTGTGTTTTCGTCGCGGGACTATCTAACATATTGTTTGCACTATGCAGCTACCTAATCTGAGAAACGAGACGGTGTTTATCGTTATTATCAGTGAGAATCTTTATCGTTACACGTCGTTCGTGAACGAAAATTTATTTCGCCAACCGCTTCTATCGCCGCGACGCGACGTCTCGTTTGTCGGCGTATAACGTGAGATTTTCGCGTTTACAGAGCGTCACGGTTATGCTCGCCGAAGTGTCAACCTTCTGCGAGGGACTTTTGTGTTTGGTAAACTGGTTTCTCGGCATTATTCACGGAAAACTGATATTTACACGCTCGTCGAAACCTAAAAAGAAAAATTACACGTTAAATCGTTGACGAAAGATTTGTTAGAAATTTTCATCGCGAATTTTAGGTTAGAATAACGTGTAAATCGAAGATATATAAACTAATTTCTCAGTTATTATTCAAGGAATTATGTAAATATAATTATGAAGTTTTATTTGAAGTTTTTGACGAAAAAAGTTTAATTTTTTAGTAAATGGTATGTTAGAAATTTTAATAGCGAATTTGAGGTTAGAATAACGTATGACTCGAGAGTGTAGAAGTTGGAACTTTGTCAATTTCGTAAAATTTGTAATACTCTGTTGTTATAATTATTCCAAGTATTTCTACTATGATGAAATAGGAAATTTGTTTTCCACGTATTAATTTTCCCGAAATTGAAGATTCACTCGTTTACGTTGCCACGAACAAGCACGTTACGCTCGGAATTGTTTACCGTTCCGTGTAAACAGCGACGACACCGGTACCAGTTGTCATTCAATCGCTCATTCCTGATTGTCACGGGCGTGTGTGTTGTTGATCTTCGTTAAGCCCTCTGCATCAAGACATTTTCATACCTATTTGTCCAAGAATGATCGTTTCTTTCTTTCGTTTACACTAGTGTTTGAAGAATATATCGCTTGATGAGAAATTAAACGGTCGTTATACGTTGATACGTTTGAAAAGAATGAATCAGATGTCAGATGTTCGAGAAATACATACATTTGTACACATATCCGATATGACAGCTCTATTAAAATCATTAAAAACAAACAATTGTATCTTCATACGTTACGTGCACTTTCAATTGCACTCTTTTTACGACACATTAGATCATACGTTAATCGGTAACGCACTAAAATTTCAAACGTTGATATAACAGTCCAATTTATAACCTAGTTCAATCTGTTCTAACCTCTCATTGGCCGTGATTGCCATTTACTTCTCGTCGAAAATATTTACAACACACACTCTCTCTCTCTCTCTCTCTATTCGTAAAAACGAATATCTTCGGACACGTTTCTTAATTCAATAATGCGACAAAAACACGTACAGAAACGAAATTAAACGACGGGGATGAAGAACAAAGTACGTTTAACCACAACGTCCGGTGTGTAGAAAGCATCGAAGCCCTTGAAAAGCCCTCCATCTTTAAGATACGGTCCGCTCCACACAGGGGCGAACTTTGTAATTATTTCGAGCAAGCGTGACGGTATCGAAAGTAAAAAAAACTGTTTGTAAACGATCGAGAAGAGCGCGAAGTCGTGCGTCTTCGGTGCGTGGTTTCTTCTTGTTGGGTATACTCGGCCCCGGGAGGTGGGGGATGCGCCCGAAGAGACAGTCTCGAGCCGAGTGCCTCGACGTGTATAAATACAAGCAGTCGGCTTCGTTCTCGCTTAGTCGCTGCGATACTCGATTCTCGTGACGGCCTGTCGATTCAAGTGCGTGTTGTGCCCCGATATCACGATTTATCGCAACCGGCTGCCCAAGTGTAGCAGCAAGTGAGTGCGCGCGCACACACACATTCGAACATATAATCATAATAAAGAAACACGAAGACGAAAAGAAAGAAAGAGAGAGAGAGGAAAATAGTAAGAGAAAGTCGTTCGTTTTTGTCGGTTACATCTCTCCCTCTCTTTTTTGCTCGAAACGCGTTGCCTTCTGTATTGGCCACAGTTTCAGCCCAGTACCGAAAGATCGCGCGTGCCGCGTGTGTTTGTTCGTTGTGCTGGGTTTCGGCCCGTGTGCGTGCGCGTCTCCACAGTAACGTCACGTCGGTATACAAGGGAGAGAAAGAAAAAAGGACTAGTGCTCGACTTTGCCGGCCTCACTGGGCCAGCCTTCTCCTCGATTCTCCGTGTTTAGCTCACGGTGTGTCCGATGGTGGAGAAGAAAATACGCGACAGTATAGCTGGACTCTGCTATCGGTATACGTCGAGTCGTTAACCTGAAAGCGCGTACCCCACCCGAGAGAAGACGGAAGCGACGCCCGTTCGAAGTTTCATCGTGGAAATCGCGTCAGAAGCGGGAAAGTCGCTTGGGAAGTTTGCTTGGGTAGAGAAAGAGGAGCACCTCTCTGTTGTGTGTTTATTCGTACGCCGTTGATGCTACGTTTCAAAACCGTTACAGAATTCGTTCCACGAGTGTGACGACGTTACACGACAAGTGTCGTTCGGTCTAATTCGAGACACAGGACATCTGACGGGCCGAGGACGAAGCAAAGGTCGATTCGGTTGACGTTTGTAGCTAGTGTGTTAGAGGCCGAGAACGAGTTTCCAACAAGGGCCTCTCGACTTACCAGAAAATAGAGAAACAAACGAAGGAGCAAAAGGCTCGCACAAGGTGGAAGCTAGTCGGTCGAAGGAGCCGTTGGCTGGTTCCGCGCGCGATTCTCCCAGGTCAACGATCTGCTGGTGGATCTCGCGGCTCTCGAGCTGTACCCGGTGTGTATACACATACCTGTGGACAGGTCCGGTCGATACGATACAGGTTCGTTCGTTCGTCCGTTGGTTGGTTCTTTCGCTGGTTCGGTCGCGTTCGTTCAGTATATACGCGTATTCGTGCCGATAGCACGTTTCACGAGGAGTGAAAAGGCGGTCACTCGGTACGCCGCCGTGGCTGCTTTCACCGGCGATGGAATAATGCCGATCAAGCCTTAACGGTACGCTGTAAACTCATGCCTTCCGTATTTCCTTCGCGAACCACCAGCAAAATGATCGCGGATCTCGGGTGATCGTCGGTGTATCGCCGAGAAGGTTCGTCGCAGTGTCTCGCGAGTGTTTGTCGGTGTTGTTTATTGCGCGTCCGTACGAGTGTGAAAAACGTGGAGATACAACGACTACGTTTAGCCTCGCGCTTCTTCTCGAGGATCGACTCGGTTGTATAGTATGGAAACGACGATGTACATCAGCAACGAGCCGCAGAACAACGGTCACTCGGCCACCAAATACGCCTCCACGAACTCGATTCCGTCGATGATGGAGAAAGAGTCGTCGTTCGCAAAACTGATCGGCGCAGTCGGTAGGCGGGACTCGAGCGCTATCTTGCGTGACAATAAGGGAAGGAGGCATAGCGTGTTGGAGGATTTGAAGGCGCGAAGGGACAGCTTGTTCCATAGGGCACGACGTGGCAGTGTTGTCGAAGAGAAGGAGAATAATACGGCGACGAAACAAGTGCAAAAGGAGAAAAGGCGAGCGAGCGAAGGTGGCAGAAGGTGTTCGGTTTTTTACGTGTCTCAGGATTTACTCGAAGAGAATCAGGAGTTGTTAGAAAACGAGAGAATACAGGCAGACCTCGAGGGAAAGAAGGGTCGGAGAAAATCGTGGCATATTCTCGCGAAGCCACCGAAACTCGATCGAAAGAGGAGAAAAGGTATCGCTGGTGTTCCGACACAGGTTGGAAGCACCGATGGATTGTACACACAAACTAGACAGAAGAGGCCTTCATGGTGGAATATATTCGTACCTGACTCTGTCGCCAGGTATTTATCGTTCATGTTGCGTTATGTTCTGTGTTTGGACAGTGTTCTCTCATGGAGAATCCTTGGACGTTGATAACGAATTGTGATTGTTTTTTTTTTGTTGTTGAATCTCCGTATTATCGTTCGTATCGCGCAATTGGCAAACTAACAGGATCCTACTTAAACGACAGATACATGTGCAAAGTGGATATAAAGGTAGGCGTATGATAGCATTTTGTCGAACGTCGTTCCGTGGCTTTTCGCTTCGGTAATTTCGAGCAGGACCGGTTTTCGTGGATATCCTTCTTCGGTCGTGGCACAATGGTCTTGTTTTCATGGAAACGAGGCGGATAAATTGCTTCGTGAGGTGTATAGGTTATGTTTCTCCATTGCAGTTCCTTTCTCGTTCGCCGCGCTTCGATACAGGTTATGGTTTATTTGTTAGGTTATTACTGTCAATGAATACGATAGGATAAAGGAAAGGCGTTCACGGTAAACAGTGTTGCCACTATCGGAGAAACAATCTTCGTGCTTTACGAATGATGGGAAAGCGGTACATGGGCTGTTATTGTTGTTCGTCTCCTATGTTATATCACAGTGAACGCGGGCGATTACGGTAGAGGGATTTGATTTCAAGGAAAGAATCGTGAAACAGGTGCACCGTGTAAATATTTAGAGAAGTCGACGTGGTTGAAGTCATAATCCGGGATCGGGTAATCATGTCACTTTCAGACAGTCGCATTTACCATCCGCGATAACAGCTCTACGGCTAATAACGTGCACAACTTGCTTTTACCAACCGAATTCTTGCATGATTTGTTTGCGTTACGTATCCCGAGTTGGAAAGTGCCTTCGGATAAAAAATACTTGCACACGTTTATACCGTTGAAACGTTTAAACGTTTCTGCATCGAAAACGTGACGTCACGATGTCACAAACGAAAAGAACTATTCGTGCAATTATTCTCGTCAGGAATCGTGCGTGTTGTCGTTCGTTGATTTTTCGACGAAGAAGAAAAGAAACGTTTCGTTGAAGTTACCGACGAATCTCTGCCTGGAATGAAAATTACGAATTACCGGAAACAAAGTCGTGATTTATGGTGCGTTATCGATACTCGATCTAGCGTGTTTTCTCAAGCACGGGAAATTTTTCTGGTGTTTCCTCTCTGTCTGTTGGTAATCCCACGATTTCTCCATGCTCCTCTGAACACGGAAATCGAACGTCACCGATTCAACGTGCGTTTATCGTTCGTCTGAAAACGTTGGAGACGCCTCGATCATACAGAATCGACCGCCATGTTGACGAAAACAATAGAGGGGGGAGCGTTCGTAACTTTTCGAGACCGCGTTGTTATTTTCGATAGTCGATCCGCTTCGACAGAGAGATGGAGTCCATCTTTCATCTGCGATTGCGCGCCATTATCTCGAAGGTTATGTTTTCTTCACCTACACGGAAAGAATATTACGGAATACTTGAAAGATCGTTAAACTCTTTTCAATTTTTTTTCCACTATCGCTCACGTGCTTGGAGTGAAAATAATATTACGATGGAAATATTATCTCTCCTCGTTATTGATCTCGTAATCTCAATGTACGGTTAATTGATTATCGCTTCCTAGATGTGTCGATTGTCAACATTGACATCTATGTTTTCATCGTTTAATTGCAATGACAAAAGCGTGACCTTCGCAAGTATGATTACTCAGCCGTTTTATTGCATACTATACATTATTTTATTTTTTTTATTGCTGTTCCAAGCATCGCATCGGTTACTCTCTCGATTGAACGTGTTTTCAGAAACGATGTCACAACGATCGGACCAACCTTTCGATGAAAAAAAAGCAAAATAATTTGCACTTTCAATTAGTATTGTTTATCCTCGTTTCGTAACTTCGATCGTTCTCTTTCTCTTTCCATTATCAAAATACACGAACGTTAACAAAAGTACCTGGAATCGGGGACTATCGTTTCTTTTTTTATTCCTTCGTAAATTTTTCACCGGCGTCGACGTCACTTTCACGCTTTTATGCAACTAATTATGCAATTACGTTATTTTTTACGATGATCGTTAAACAGTATACGATCGAAACCGTGTTTCGTCACACGTTAGTAGAAATCCAATTGCGAATCTAAACATGAAACACGATACTATCAACTTTCTATAGAGAATAAAAGGTAAATAGACATTTTTACGTGTGTTCTTTGTCTCTTTTTAACTGGTCGTCAAGAGGTTAGCCTTAATCCCTAATTTTCCTTTCTCTATTGCGAACCATAGAACGTAAAGAATATTGTTAGGCGTTCTGATTCAAAGAACTTTTGATTTTCATCTGGAAAAGGTGTATTGTTCCCGGACAAAAAGCGAAAGAAAGAACATCTACGGTCGAATGACCGGGCTCAGATTTTTTTTCCCCGCTGACGGAGAAACTTTACCGAGAAAATTGGGTCGGACGCATCCGCAGGCCTTCTGGTGTTCCTCTCTGAAAAATTCGGGACTCGTCGCGCGTCGGTTTTTCCCCTCGGTGACGTCTTCCTTCTTTTTTTCAACTTCTGGCTTTCGATGGATCGCGACTTGGTAATTTTTGATAGTTTTCCCGGTGATTCATGGCGTCGCGTCAGTCTCACTTTTTCCGAGGAGAATCCTTTTTAGTGCAGATCGAAATCTACTCGTTTGTTTCTCCTGCAAATATCGCGATCTTGGGAAAAAATATTTCTTCCGATTGCGTCGTGTTTTATTATCGTTACTTTTTTTTGTAACTATTGATATTTTGCCTTTTTCTCTGTATATGTGGAAATAGTTTTAAATAATTTTAAGAGGTAAGAGAAACATCTAAAATGTGAATTGAAGGTCTCAGAGGAGAATTCAGCTGAATTCGAAAAACAGAAATTTTCAAAAAATAGGAAAATAAATTGAAACACTAAAAATGAAATATTTTTGTACCCTTTGCCACTGAAAATATTTTTCAAACGTTCCCTTCAAGTTGCAAAAAAATGAAGTTTTAATCTACTTAATTATTTATTTAGAAAATCTCTCATCTCTCCACTCGCTTTCTTAAATCTTCAATAATTATTTTCCTTTACAATTCTCCATATTCAAATCACCCGTATAGTCTCAATTTTCCTTCGATGGTTCTCGCCAAACTCTCGTCCTTTTGCCAGCGCAAAATAATCCCAATGACGTCAATGCCCATATTTTTTCCCGTTTACTTTCAATTGGTTAAATATAATCCAGGCACGTTAGATGCAACTTCATAATCGATTCTCGACGGTCTTTTATACCGAATCGAGCGAGGGTTAGGGTGGGGGGAGGAGGAGATTGGCGAAAAAATTGAGAGGTTCGATCGATGTGGATCGCGGCAAAAAAATGCACGAGGTATTTATCAGGACCACTGGTTACACGTGAAAACCGGTCGAGCGCCTTAAAATAGCCGTTCGCGTACCGTGTTCGACGTTTTTTCTCATCGAACCTTTATCTGCCGCCTTTGCACGATGTCGAGGGTATACTTTTCAAACCTTTCCCCCTCCTTCCTTCTGATTCACAAATTATTGACCGTGCCCGGTAGCTACTGGTAGTACGAGATCCGACGATGTTAAGAGATTTTCTTTTGATCGGTAGTTTTTCATCCCAGAACAAAGGAGAATTTTTTTTCTTCTTCCATAAAAACATTACTTCGTTAGAAGATAATTTTATGTAGAAATTGTTTTTTTATAAATGCTTCCATTGTTGGGTTTAACAATTGATTTTAAAACAAGCTTTCTCTCTGTCTCTCTCTCTTTTGTAATGTGAAGAAATAAACAAAGGGAATAAAAAAAAGGACAGAGAGAGAGAGAGTCGGTTCTCCTTTCTTCTTTAATTAAATCTTTCCTAGAAAGAAACAATACGATTATACCTTTGAGTGAAATGGAAGAAACGAAGAATCGTTGTGCTACTGTAGAAATTGCTTCTTCTTTTTTCTTCTTCTGTTTGAACGTCGTGCTTCCGTAAGGAAGTCGAGGAGAGGTAAAAGAAAGAATGGAATATATACGCGATAGAACGACGCCGGGAGTTGACTTTAGAAGCGCGTGTTTTTCTCTCGTAACACCAACGACCACCGACGTGTCTGAGAAAAGTTTCGTTGCCAGACGACCGACCACGGTGGTCCAACAATCGCTTCCGGTTACTCTCCATGTTTCACGGAGTTTACACTTTTACCGCGTGGCCTGGCTTGACCCTCGAAATTCTTTTACTCTTTGATCGCTTTTCTTTTTTTATTTCGAGAGTATGTACTTGAGGGAGAACTGATTTTTGAATGGTTGCTTTTTGCGGGAGTAGTGGGGAATTTGGAGGAGGAGAAAGTCGAATGGTTTTGGGTTGCTTGACTGTATTGTTGATGGTGTTTTTTTTAAATTGTTGTTGGTTGTAATTCGGAAATTATTCGGATTAAGGCATTGGTGAGATTCTGAAATTGTGGTTTTGAGGTTTTGAAAGTTTAATATTGAGATTCTGAAATTTTTATATGGGATTTTGAGATTTGGAACTTTTCACTTTGAGATATCGAAATTTTGAATTTGAGACTTCGAAATTTTAATATAGAGATTCCGAAATTTCCATTTTGAGATTTGGAACTTTTCACTTTGAGATATCGAAATTTTGAATTTGAGACTTCGAAATTTTAATATAGAGATTCCGAAATTTCCATTTTGAGATTTGGAACTTTTCACTTTGAGATATCGAAATTTTGAATTTGAGACTTCGAAATTTTAATATAGAGATTCCGAAATTTCCATTTTGAGATTTGGAACTTTTCACTTTGAGATATCGAAATTTTGAATTTGAGACTTCGAAATTTTAATATAGAGATTCCGAAATTTCCATTTTGAGATTTGGAAATTTTCACTTTAAGATATCGAAATTTCCATTTTGAGATTTGGAACTTTTCACTTTGAGATATCGAAATTTTGAATTTGAGACTTCGAAATTTTAATATAGAGATTCCGAAATTTCCATTTTGAGATTTGGAAATTTTCACTTTAAGATATCGAAAT